CAATATTTATCATTTTCAAATATTAAAAGTTCCATTTCTCCACGCAGTGACGCTGCATAATTAAAGTCTAAACACAGCAGTGAGGGAAACAGACGACATATTGTTTTTCATTTCTCCACATACTGTGGTGATTGGGTTGCAGCATGGCTGTGGTTCAGCTTTCCCTCGATTCTTTTTCAGCACACACACACGCACACACACTCTGGAAGGAATATTCAGTGATTCTGCTCTTTAATTATTCATCCAATTACCATTCTATTTCTTACATATTAAAAAATATGCGCCGTATGTGGAGCTTAAAAATGATAAAACAGCATAAAATACTATTTTGAAATCAAAGCACCTATTGCATGGGCTTCCTTGCTTTTGTATTTGTTCAATTGGACTTCAATGTGGATCCCTGCAGCGCGCAAAAGGAAGCGCAGACTGTGTTTCCACTGTAGCCTAATCCTCAGACATTCAGAGTGAATATAACAATAATATTTATGTGATGGAAATAGGTATCACAGGGAATCAGTGAGAGAACTCTCCTTTCTCTGCAGCAGCCGGGGGAGAACGGTGAATATGTTACAAATGCATGGAGCAGTGCAGTGAACAATACAGGCCTGAGAACAAGGTCAGGCTCCTCAGCATGGTCTCAATAGACCGTGCCTTCATCCAGAGACCGAACAAAAAAAAAAAGCAACCAAAGTGAGAGCCTCGGTCTGATCAATGTGTTTCTAAGAAAGCTAGCATGTAGCTCTGGTTGCCTGTGCAATATACACAGTAGCTGTAAAATACTGTTATTCTCCCCTACCACAGGTGGGCACTCATGTGTGCTCTGCCGCGGCAAAACAGGGACGGCCCTATAAATATTTATGTCTTTACAGCAGCCATTATACATCTATTTACACAAGTACCATATGACATGCTATATACAGTATAACAATCACTGGCAAAAATCAATACATGTATATTGAAATAATTTGGTGCAACGGGCCCAAAGACTGTACACATAAATGAATGAAGGTAAGCCATTGCAAATGGGAAGCCAAAGAAAGTCTGCCAAGAATGGTCCCGCCCCCCATGTTTGTTTTTTTTTCAACAAATCTGATCATATATAGACAGTGAGTGTGTGGAAATAGAAGTTGGTCATGGTGTATGACAGTATAAAATTAACATCAACGTCAACAATTGTATTTGTATGAAGTCAAATACAATTGCTGATGTCATAAATGGTGGGGGTTACTGATAGTTATTTAAGTCTCAGTTGCTTTAATAGTGGAGACCACATGATATTTTCTCTTTGATCATCACAATTTTGGAATCTAATCATGGGCCGGATTGGATGGTCCGGCGTACTGGATTAAACCCACGGGCCACCATTTGATAATCACTGGCGTACTGTTGGATTTGTGAAGGGAGATGACTCTGGCTACTGTTGTTACCACCATGTATGGACACAGTCCTTCTATTAGGGGTTACTAAGAGAATAGACAATTTTGTGAAAACATGAAAAATTGATACTGCAGACTTGAAAATCAAATGTGTCTGGTTGGAACACAAACAAGGGTCAACCACCGGGGGGGTCTGTCATCAATAACTGTAGTAAAAAATTTTTA